GACACGCAGGGGCGTGGTTCCCATACATGATGTTGTACCTCGTTCCTTTCCTTCAGGGAACAGTAGTTATATGCATAACATTACGTTTTTAATGCCCAGAAGGAGAGTGTTCTAGAAGTGGGGATCTGAGCGACTGAAAACTTTTGAGCCCTAGTAGTTACAGTGGTAAACAGAATAGAAACTATTCTTTTACTAATTTCAATTTTATAATGTTCTATATGTGACTACATGTATGATAACAGGAACTACATCCACTCCAGTTTGATTTGAATCTCAATTGAATTGATGATTTGGACTTTTTTTTTGTATATTGCCCTCAGTTGTGAATTGGCACTGCATAAATAAACTAAATAGAATTAAAATGTTATATACAATGCTGCTGGTACAGGTCAAGATAAAACGTTGAAAGATATTCTCTGTTGCACAACTTGTCATTTTGTTGCACTTTTTACGGCTTTGCTTCCCGTTCTAATCTCATTGGATGCAGTGAACAATCTTGTGCACACAATTGTATAACATCAGCAGAGTTTTGGCCTGTCAGCATCGGTCCACATAGTTGTGGGTAAAAATAGCACAAACGAAGGGAGTCCTTAGCTGAATCTCAGTGAAGCTCAGTAGAAGGGACTGTTGGATTTTGACGGCATGTTTTTATGTCACAGCTTAGGGCCTGGTTAACGGTCCGAGGACCAATCGTGAGGCTCCAGTTGATTAATTGCAGTTGTTAACCTCAGGCGAGGTCAGAGATCACGTCAGGAATTGCAGAAATAGTGTTTTTTTTTTTTTCTTGCGAGAGGGAGTTTGCAGTTTCCGATATCATTGCTCTCAGATGGAAGAAAGAATGAGTCATTTTTGCACCACTTGAGTTTGGAGGATCTCCTTACGTGCCCCATTATTTTGTTTATTTATATAGGTCCTCAGTGTGTTTCTGTTTTATCTCACATCTCTTTCAGCGTGTCCCTCGCCTTCTCACAAATATTCATTCAGCGAGAATCTGTCGTATCTGAAGAATCCTACCCTACGTGGTATCTGAAGTGTCTTCTTCAGATAGGACAGAAAAACACAGATATACATAAGTTTTCATGCTTAGTTTGGGTAGCTTGAATGCAACTCTTCTATTATAGACATATATTTTCTTCAACTGTTACACAATCTAAAAATATTCAATCTCCATATAAAAATTAGTCTTTATAAACTCAGAGTCAGGCCTGTTGTGTCTGTGTTGCCCTCAGGCCTTCTACTGCTGAAACTACTTGACAGAGTTGGTTTTCTCATAGATGGATGGATAGAAGGAGTAATGCTAACATTGAGGCCTCTGCTCTACATTCATATTTTACTTTTCAGATATAATGTAGGAATCATTCCTAATATTTTGTACTTTACAAAAACATGACTTTCAATCACAATAAACAAATTTCACAAACCTCTTATTTGTTATCTTGAGCATTCAGGAGATTTTCACCTCATTTTTCATATACTGCAGATTGAAAACTATCACAAGTTTGTCTGTTTTGTCTGATCTGTGTGTTTGTCTCTCCACAGAAAGATAATCTGTACAATCATTTGTCCTGCGTTGGACAGGTAGCAGGATTCATGAGAATGTGCTCACCACCTCTGAAATGAATCTTTGGCACAAACCAAAGCTCACACATTTGATAGTTTTGTTTCAGCAACAGTGCCCTAGCTCATTTTTTCCATGGTTAAATATATCAAAACTGCAGCAGACCAGTCCTTTAGTTTGCCACAGCTGCATGATGATGATGCTCGCCGTTTTGAAGCGAAGCATCCAGTTTTTACACATTAGTGTGACGTTGAGAAATTTAAAAGGCCACAATTCAGACTGATTATGGTGAAATCATGGACACAAGTTGCTCTGATAATCTCTCACGTGCAGCCAAACCGTGTGGGTTTAGTCCAGATTACAGCAGATGGACCAGGGCTCAGCGACTCGCTGCTGTAGTCACAAATTCACAGAATCACTTTCTCTTTTGATATGTTTTGCTTTGAGGAAAGCTCTGATTCGGTGCACTTAACTCTTTGAATCTGAGTGTGATGGAGAGTCTTCTTGAGATACCACAGAAAAATACACTGATAAGTTACGTAACTTTGCATGCTTGCTTTAGACAGCTTGAATGCATCTCCTTAGGGCTCCAGGATATTGAAACAAACTGACTGCGATTTTTTTTCTAACCCTGCAATATATATTACGATATGATATAAATAAATACAAGAATTTTCAACAGATGACTTGAATAACACTTTACGTTATGCTGCCATCTTGTTGATGGTGAACCTGCACTCTAACCTCTTTTTTATGCATGTTACATGTTTTTTGTCTGTATTTATTATTTTGGTTTGTGGGAGGAAACCAGAGTACCACACATGCACGGAGAGAACATGCAAACTCTACCCAGAAAGGTCCCCGGCCGGGATTTAATCCAGCAACCTTCTTGTAACTGAGCCACCATGTCGCCCAGTGGAAAAAAAAGAAAAAACGAATAGAAAAAGAGTAAGAAAATACAACTTTGGGAGCCAGGACCAAATAGAAAATAGACCATCCAGTTTAGAAAATCTAAAAGCCAGATTCTGTGATAGCTGTTGGCTAAAGTAATTTACACCACTGTGATGATGGCATTGACAGGAATGCACAGTAAAGTGCATTTCTGCCCCATCTCTATACACATTACAAAGGAGGGGAAAAAAGTATAGATACTGGAAAGTCTTCATTCCTGACCTATTATTACAGAATGTAACCCCTGAATTTTTTTTTTATCTCTAGGGAACCTTCATCATACTTTTTACCATAATCTCTTTTCACTCTTGTGAAAGGGAGTAGCAGCATTATGAAGCAGTGAAACTTTTGCCCAAACACATTTTTGGAAGTATGATAGAACCTAATGGCTTGCATTTTACATCCCATTTAAATCCTGTTTTGTTGTTGCAGTTTTCAAGTTACACTCTAATTTCTTCTACATACTGAACTCATCTTAGACTAACAATCAAACCAGGGACAAGGAAATACTCTGAACTGCTTTGCTAAGTAATGATACCAGACACATTCAAAGATTACAGCTCCCTCCGGTGGTATAAAATGTCAAACTACATGCATTAGCAATTCAAATGAAGGTTTTGTCTGTACTTGTCTTGCTCTGAGTAGTTCATATTATTTAAACAAATACAACACGTGACCAAAGGCTCTGAACTAATAGAGGATGCAAATGTTTAGCTGTTATCGAGTACACAACTATATCTTTATATGTTATACATATATTTGTCTATAACTGTGTTTCACCTGAAGGATTTTGATTGATATACTATTTTACATGATGCTGTGTAATTCTAATGTTTGTCATCAGACGTCTGTTATTCTTATGTAGGGTTGTAAATATGGTTTGTTAATTGGAATGATTTATTTTTTTCTTTGTCATTAAGGTTGAGTTTTTTTGTCTCGTTCTGTCCAGGCGTTGTGAAACCAGGTTTGCCAAGATCTCAGAGTGAATCAGCAACAGGGTTTAATGGTGGATCCAGAAGACATGGGCGGAGTCGGGAGGAGCAGAGGAGGCATACCATTTCCAACGGGGTGGATTACGAAATGGTCAGTGTATGAACACACACCCTCACTTACACAAGGCCTTACTGCTGTCTGTGTTTGTTCGTTTGTTGGGTTCACATCCACTCATTGTCGACAAACATTTTTACTCAACTTTTTATACCAATAATAACATTTTGTCTCAACATGGTTTGACTGTGGTCCTCATCAAGACTGTTGCCCTTGAATGACCTTGTGTTAAACTAATAAATGTGCACAACATATAAAACACAGAGGTTTGAGAGATAAATGTCTGATTTATTAGATAAAAATGGTGATACATGATGGGAAAATGGGAAAAATAATTTCAAGCTCAAGTTATTTCGCTTCCTATTGGTCCACAAACTCCCCTCCCATCCCTCTGACCCCACCCCTGCCGGCCCCCACGCTCTGACCCTCCCACCATCCAGTGGAGCTCAGGCCTCCTCTGGCTTTTTTTCTCTCCCCCTCCGCTTCATCATTTCTCACTCTTTCCTGCTCACCTCCTCTCCCTCTTTCTTTTCTGTGTTTGCGTTTGGTGTTTCTGTCTCTTCTCTTCCTGGCTTCTGTGTCTGTGGAGGCTGACTTATCGACTCCCCTTCCTCTCCTCTCCTCCCCGCCTCCTCCTTTCCCTCCATCCCTCCCACCCTGGCCAACTTGGCTCACTGCTGTCCTGATGGTAGTGAGCCGGGTCGGGCCCAGGGGCCTGGTAGAAGTAGAGGACTCACTTGGCTCAGTCGGCCCAGGCTGGACGGCTGTGTGGGCTGCATACACCACTGTCTTCATCCCCCTCAGCAACAGCCTGTACAGCAGCAAGGCTCTGCACTTTTTCCTCTGGGTGAGTAGGACCAGGGGGATCTGTGGGGAAGGAATCCACCAATGTTTAAAGAGCACTGTTGGGTTTAAAGTGGGTCTGTGTGAAGAGAATTTCAAGGCTGTGCATTGGTTCTGATAAATTGTGACAGTAAGAGGTTGTGATCACTCATGAGTTAGAACTCAGTGTGTTTGTTGGACAGAACTGTGGAATCACTTATTCTAGAAACTAAGAGAGCTGTTTGTTTGTATATTATCACGCTGTGGAGCTAGAGATATAAAATGAATTACTGTGAGCTGGATTATTTTAACACATTTAGTGAGTGAAAATAAATGTGACTGATTATGTGTAAGAATTTTAGTATAAATAAGTATTTTTGAAAACCTCTTTATTTCTTCAGATAAATAAAAAAAATAATATCAGATGAAAAAAATAGAAACTTATGGATAAAAATGTTCTACTGTTCTGAGACACTTTCTTAAACTAAAGATTTATTATGACTTACTTTTAGATTTGTTTTAGTTCATTTATCCTGTTGCACAGCACTTCAGCCCTGCTGTGTTTTGTACATGAAGTCCCACAGGCTGTTTAGTTTTTTGTTTAACAGATTGTGCAATGAGTGTCTTGTTGTTCGGTGTGTTTTGTTATTTTTATTTCTGCCTGTTTAGTTGGGCAGACAGAAAGCACCCAAACCCACATTTTTCCACAACTTTTTATCCCTTTTTATGTTCTACTTCCTCACACTGTTTTCTCCTCTTTGATCCTTTTTTCTACTGCTTTTCCTGCTTGTTGTTCAGCCCACATTCATTCAGCCTGACTCTGGGTCTCATTTCATTCTTGACAAAGACCCCGCCACCCTCGACTCCCTCCGGCTCTGTTTCTGTAAATACTCTGTTGTTTTTTAAAGAGAAGCTGGAAGAAAAAAGTTAGTGTTTTGATTTTGGTCTCTAGTCGAGCCACTACTGCAGCGTTTCTCCAGCTGAATGAGTGATGGTCAGTGGAATGTAGCGAGCGGCGCAGAGTCGGAGCGATGGATGGACAGAAAAATGACACACCAGGTGGCTGAATGCCAGCGATGAGGCCTGGACTGAGGCAGTGTGTAGCATGGACAGCCTGGTCAGCACAACTCAATACAGCCTTGCTGCACTGCAAACACACACACACACACACACACACACACACACACACACACACACACACACGCACAGATGCATTCACACATCTCATTTTCACAAGCACACACTGGGGTGGCCATAGTTGGAACTGGACCCAGTGTTTACCCCTTTCTTAGGTTGCTGTGCGGTTCCCATGACACCGGACTCATTTCTCCTCTAAACATTGTTCTGGACGGGGAAAGAGTTCTGCTGCGGCGCCATTGTCTCGTCAAGCACAAAGGAGTGTGCTGCAGATCCTGGCAGCAATTTAGTGATGGCATGAGAAACTAAAAATAACCAAATCAGCACAGAGCTCGACTCCTAAATCTGTTTCTGATTTATTTTTTCTTTTTCTTTTATTTCACCATTTTCACTCTTTTACCTTCCTTCTCTCACAGCTGAAGCAAATGAAAGAGCTGGAGCAGGAGAAGGATTCCCTGCTGGCAGGCCTGGAGGTGGTGGAGCGGGCCCGGGACTGGTACCAGGGCCAAATCCACAATGTCACAGAGAGACAGCGACAGGTCGGACAAAGTCCTCACTGTACAGTAAGTTCAAGAAAACCTGCTCCTAAGAAGCAAAAAAAACACTAACCTTGAAAATTTTAGCAATGTTTTTTACTTTTATTTATTTATTTATTTATTTATTTATTTATTTATTTATTTATTTATTAATTATCCTTGAACTCAGGACTTTATCACAGACGCTAGCCAGAGTCGCATGAATGTTCTTATTCCCAAACTCCAAGATGTCAACCGCTGCCTTAATGACCTGATTTCCTGCCCTGGAATGGTGAGTGTTAAGTCCTCAAATATGATTTTACTTTGTTCTGGGATTTAAAATAAATCAAACAATGCTCATTAATCTGGGTTGAGGGTTTAGGCTTTGTTTTTCTATTACAATGCACGGTAGCCATAACAAAGCATGTGTTTTAGGTTTGATAAAAACCTTTGTTCCTGTCCTACTTCTGTGTTACTGGCATGTTCTGTTCTATGCAGTGGAAGAATAATTTCAGTTCATACAATAACTGTAATGCTACAGCTGTTTTCAAGAGCATAGGAAATAGTGGGTCATCTGAAACATTGTGCCAAAAAATAGATCATATAAGAATCATGATTCTCATTTACAGCGATTCAGAATCAATTAAAAATGTCCTAATATCTATTAAAAAATAAATAAACAAATCTGCTGGCTGTCGGCCTGCATTTTGTAAATACGCAGGGCGTCCTGACGTCATCATGCAGTCTGGTACGTAAGCATGTGCTGATAGCACCAAAACAAAGAGGAGACTACAAATCTAGAGGAAAGAGAGATTCAACTGGCCCAGTTTTTGTTTTCCTTCTTTGCAAAGATTTGGACTCATTTTAGTTTTTGACTAAGCTTGAAGTGAGCTTTCACAGACTGGAGTAGATCACGAGGATCCGTTGCACACCAGATTCAGATTGCTTTTTATTGTCATTCAAACATAACTTCATGGATGCAATGAAGAACAAAACTGCAGTTAAGACCACCCATTCAAGAAGAACACACATGACAAAAACATGGGGGAACAGGTCATGTGCAACAGGGTCGCACTACCTTTTTATTATTTATAGATTTTATATTCATATTTGGTATTATTTATACCAATAGATTGAAGCAGAAATCTTGAATCAAATCGTTTTAAATTGATTTTGAATCCAATCATGGCCCCAGGAATCATAACTGAATTGAATCCTGAGATTGTAAACGATTCCTACCCGTTTTATTTAGTCTAAAATCTAGAAACTGGACATCTGTCACAGACTTTTCTTCAAGTGGTTTCTCCAACTACCTCAGTGTCTTCTCCAACTGCATCCTTTTATTTCCTCTTTGAGTAGATGAAAGTATTTATCATAAAATGTATATTTTTAAACAAAACATCTGGAAAAGATGATATAAATCAATTAACATGTGAGTTTTCGCTTTGCTATTGTTTCTTGTCTGTTTTTCAGCCGTCATTTCCTTCAGGTGGTGCTCAGACTGCAGTTCTGTCCACTAACTCCCCGTCTTCAGCCCCAGCCCCCCCCCAGGCCATCCAGAGACTGAAGGACCAGAACCGACTTCTCACTCAGGTTCAGCACAGTCCACTGCCTTTTTTTTTTTTTTTTTACCATAACTAATATTTATTCAGTAAAGTGTCTCCCCCTTTGCGACACTCTGTCCTCTCTGCCCCTACAGGAGGTGACAGAGAAGAGTGAGCGGATCACTCAGCTGGAGCAGGAGAAGTCAGCCTTAATAAAGCAGCTGTTTGAAGCTCGCGCTCGCAGCGCTCAGGACACCAGCGCCTTGGATTCCACTTTTATCTGAAAGCAGCTTTACTCCACCTGAACTCACAATCATCAGCACCAAGTATCATAGGAATTATGACATCACCTCAGTGTATCTGTGCTGGTGTGGAGGAGAACCGAAGAAGTCTTCTGTTTACCTGACTGAACTTTTATGGCAGCAATGCACTTTTAGTTGTAAGGCACACCCTCAACTGCAGCATGAGACCACTCCATCACAAGTAAAACGGTGCACTACCTGCTTGTCACTCCTGACCTGAGTGACCCAAATGGAAAGCTTTTTTTTTGATTTTTTGTTTTTTTCCTCTGCTGTCAGGTTTCCTGCAGAAACACTCCCACTGAGCTGAAAAACTGAAGCACTCTTAAAATCAGGCAGGTCTCATGATTCCAATCATTCCATTTCTTGCTGGGTAAGACCTGCTCTCCCTCTCCTGAAGGACTTACTTGTACTCTTGCTGCACAAAGAACAGAACATGAGTTAACAGTGAGAGGTAGTTTGTTTGTGTTGGAATGAAATGCCATACTTCTGCAAATGAAAACAAATCATCTGCACCCACTTGCTGTGACCTATCAGATACTTCTTAGTTTGGTACTTTTATCTTTTAGACTTACTCTTCCCTTTCTCTTGATGTATAATTGTTTTGTTTTTTTTAGTTTTTGCAGTGTCTTTTTCACTAAGGAAATACTAAAATGGTTGTCTGTATTTTATATTAGCCTGTTTCATATTGAGACCTTCTTTAGTTGTTTTCACATTTAAACTGTGGACAGTTTCCAATGAATCATTTAAAAGAACAAATAATTATCTGTAATGATAAAAGCTATTGCCTTGATCAATGTGTTAATGTGTTCACAGTACTGATGAACAGAAAAACATCAGTATTTCTGTGGATTCTCTGGACAATAACCTGCTCTTGGAACTCGGTTCAACTCCTGAGGAAGTTTGGCCCAAAAACGTGGACAAAAACATTTTTGCTTAGGCCCCATTGGTAGCTGTAGTTGTGAACTTTCTGGGCTGCAGTGCACACTTTAAAAACGTCTCAAACGTGAAACAAAAGGAACCTTAAAAGATGTGAGGGGAAAGAGAGATGGACTGGAGAAATCTGGAAGTTTGCATGTTGAAGAAAGCTGTGAAGAAAGATTGATGGAGATGTGAGATGAAACGAAGACGATTTAAAAAAAATCCCGTTTCTCCAGCTGGTACCACGAATCCTGGCTTCAGGGTTAAAACTCAAACTATTTTCCACAGAGGAGATTTAAGTTGGAGATACGACGGTGGCTCAAATAGGAAAACTTGTGTAATCTCCATTTTAAGTTTTGTTTTGCCTGAATCCTCCTGGACACACATGCTTATCGACCTTTAAAAACCACAAAGCCATCCACGAGTTTACAGATGTTTAGTTGGTGGGTGGCGGTAAAAGGAAAATAGTAGGTTTGTGTCTTTATGGTACTGTTGGAATGAAACTGTGGTACTGAAACTTCAGTGGAAAAGTCAAAACAAAAAGCAGTTAAATAAAGTGAATTTGGTCATATTTTATGTACTCAGTGCATTTTTTTTTCATTACAAGCTTCCTTTGCAAACAGTGTTTTTAAATGACTGTCACTAAACCTTTAGATGAAATGTGACAAATCTGCAGAAATTCACCTGGTTCATGCTGAGGTAGCAGGTTTTATGTATGGGGGAGGATTTTTATTCAACATGTTCAAGGACACAATGCAATTTAAACACTTTTTCACATTTAAATCATTCAGTTTGGTCTGCGATGCTTTGTGCTGGACTCATTGTAACTTCACAAGGCCCTCTTTTGCCACTTTTCTAAAGTGTGTCTCAGATCAACTCCTTTCGAGGCTGTTTCTTTAAAACCAAATGAGGCGCTTCCAGGGGTGGATCTACAGGGAGGGCAAAGGGGGTCAACTGCCCCCCTATTTTCATGTCTAAAATACTTGTAATTATTAACTGTTTGTTAGTCCAAAGCCTCTTACAGCCTTCAAATTAAACATTAATGTACCAAAAGCTATTATTATACAGCGAGTAAAATAAGTATTGAACACGTCACCATTTTCTCAGTAAATATGTTACTAGAGGTGCTAATGACATGAAATGTTCACCAGATGTCGGTAACAACCCAAGTGATCCATACATACATTTGCAAAAGTATTCATACCCCTTGAACTTTTCCATATTTTGTCACATTACAACCACAAACATAAATATTTTTCTCAGTAAATATGTTACTAGAGGTGCTAATGACATGAAA